TTCTGCATGATTATGAGTCACTTCTGCATGACGAATTGCCCCTTAACTCTTTCTGACCTTGCTTCAGTGACAGCATAAGGGAAACAAGGGACCTTAACACTGCCTAAACTGTGAACTGATGCACAATACTAGAGAGGGAGCAATTTCAGCAATTACATGCATCTGATCTACACATACAGTACTAAGATCATCCATCTTGGTAATTCCTGAATATGTGACTGATAAATTTATTTTACCGGGCTTGGGGAAAGTAACTTGGGGAAGTAACAACCAGGATGGAGAACAGCTATCTGACAGAATTGATCATAAAAGAGAAAGAACACCTGACAGGATATGCAGTTTGTACAGGGAGCTCTGAGGTCTCAGGGAGGAAGGAACTGCTAAAATTAGTGAATCCCAACTGCTCACAGTGGGGCGCTCCTACAGGTTAGCCTCACACAGCAGGATGCCATTGAGATCTGCACAGCACAATTTAAAGTTCCGTCCCCCTTTACGAAGCATACCAAGGCACTGATCATTAGGCACTATATATATACAGTACTTTGCTTCAGAGTTGCACTTGGAAAGGGTGATACTGATGCAGCTGACTATTAAATGCACGAAAGATATTATTGAAAGGCATAAGGAATGTGAAAACTGTAAAATCGTTACAGAAAAGTAACGCTTTCTTGGTGGAAATCATCCTAAAAAAGGAATAACCTGAGGGGATTTCGGGTCAGGTGTGAAAGATAAAAGTGGTTACGAAATGAAAAATCCAAGATGTATTCACGCTTTTCCTTTTGCATCCTTGAGTAAATAAGAGCTGGAGTATCTAGCTGAATTACCCCTATAGTAAATATTTACTCCCACTTTACCCCCCTGAGAGCAGATTCAGACGGTTCAGACCACCACCTGGTCTTCAGGATGAAGCAGGAAAGACTGAATCCGGAAAGTGGTGGGGAGAGCATTTTCCTGGATGCAACCATTTTAATCTTCGTTCTTTTCTTTGAAAGACACTCACAATGTAACAGGAGAACTGTGTCATTTATCGAAGGTTATGAGCTCGTTTAGGAAAAAGCCCAGAGAAGAGTCTCAAGATTCTGATTTTGCCCTTAGTTCAAAGGGTTTACAGAAATCAAGAATTCCATTTCTCATTACTTACACAAATTAGACTACACTGTACCAAAACCCTGATGTTCTTTTCTTTTACATCATCCAACTGACCATGAACACTGTCTTGAATGAACATATAAAAGACTGAAATGGCAGCGAAAGCCAGCTAGAAAAATACTGCTGTACAAAACATGTGTTTGGCTTTTGCTACAGTACTCGTAAAAATCTAATTAATTTTATACGTTTATTTTTCACACTAGTGTGCACAGATTTTAAACCAAGTTACACAATACATACAGACATACAAAAAAGTAGCATTCATTAAAAGCGCAAGTCAAAACAAAGGTTTCAAGTTAGGCTTAAAAAAACTCAGATTTGGCCTGCCGGATTTCTAAGAGAATAGAATTATTGGGATGCATCAAAGTAAAAGGTTTTAGACATAGCTCTGTGTTGTTTTTATAACACACAAAAGTCACTTGAAGTACAGAAGTGAACTGGTTAACCTGTCACGTTGGTAATGTGATACCAGTCCCTCACTGCCAGAATGGACAAGTGCCCCAAAACACCAGGCTGCAGTGTGACAGAGTGAGTGCAGTGAGACTGGCAGCTCACGGTGACTCCTGATCTGATTCCTGCACTATCCTGCCTCTTCCTCCACTGCTGTAAAAGCCTAATGCAAAGAGACAGCCGCAGGAACAAGCGAGCTGCTGGGCTGCCATGCACTCATTTCCTCTGTGGAAGACCTCTGGCAGGACACGGTAGCTAATCCGGGCTTGGTGATGAAGGTTCGAATTCAGAGTGTCAGTTGCCCTTTGGAGCACCAGCAAAACGATCCAAAACACATACTGTACAGTACTGTACCTCCTTTTCTCAAAACTAGAGCATTTCTCACAAGCTAATCAGAATCACTCAAAAGGGCTTTCATCCAGAGCCCTAAGGTTTCAATTTGTGAATTTCTTTCTCCCCTGCAGACCTTAATAATGGTTCAGGATCACCTAAGGATATATATTTTCAAAGGAAACTGACACAAATCCCTAAAACACAAGGTATATCATAAAACTCCACAGGAGCTGTCTTACCCCCAACATTATCTTGATTTTAATAGCGTGTCTGAAAAAGCAAAACATTGCAAGTTTGGTTCTTCAGACATGCTATTAAAACAGGAGTCTTCCTAACTCAGAAGTCATTTCGTTTTCCCTTCTGGCTCTTTGCTTCAAGCAGCTTTTCTGAGCCTCGGCCTTCTGCCTATTGGGACTGCACAGGAACAGAATGAGCTCCATCTCCCGGGTTCTGCCCCACAGAACCGGTGAGGAGCAGGCAGCTTCGCTGCTAAAGACAAATCACAAGGTGAACCCGCCGCTCCCAGTCACAGCCCGTCAGTCCAGCTGTGCGATATGAATTTCACAGCAGCATAACAGCCTGTCCTGCAGCGTGAAGCACCGCGGTCTACCAGAGGAACATGCCTCGCTTCATTATTTCATGCAATTCCAAATAAAGACAAACCTACCAGAAACTCATTATTTTTCGCGACCTTCCAACAAATGACACAGCCTCACAGCTATTCTACCTAACCCTGCTGGAATCATTCCAGAGCTTCTGAAGGGAAGTATTCAAACCAAAGTGAGGACAGTATTCAGAAAGAAAAGAGTTAGCAACCATTAATTATGGTGGCAGTGTGGAGTAGTGAGCAGGGACTTTGGTCTCCAGCTGGAGGGCTGGGGGTTCATGTCTCAGGTGGGATGTCTCGTACCCTTGGGCAATACACTTCATCCAGATTCCTTGTGTAAATGGATAAACCCAGCGGTAAAAATGGATCGTGATTTGGACAAATAAATACTAATTATTATCAACTTTTTAATGTTAAACTGTAGCTCGCCTTTAAATTGCATATTGGCTTCCCCAGTATGACACAAGCAAACAAAACTTTAAAATGGGGCAGCTCACGCAACAGTAAAGGGTGGCTAATTCAATTCTGAGTGGAAGATCAGCTCACCGTTTCGGCGAGATTAGAAAGATGTAATCTAGTTGCACCTCATTCCAAAAGGCCGGTTCCTGCATATGAATGCAAGGAAGTGATTTTGTTTATTTATGAACAGAAGCATTTGCTCTGTGTCTGAACTGCTGCTTAAAAGATGAAATAACTGAGCTGTAAAAGTGTCTTATAAGGAAACCACTTGCCCTCCATCAGCTCCTTACTGTGGTGTAGAGTGGACTGGAAATGCTCCTAGCTCACATCTCTGTAAGGTCTTATTTAGAAATCAAATTTGCACTAATTCAAAGGCTCGTCTTAAACGTGATCTCAAGTACCAGGCTATAAATTAAGGGAAAAAAATAGTTTTAGATAGCCAGACATTATTGTTCCAGTGTCTCTAAAACCAAGAAGTGCAGAGGAATAGAGAGATTCAGGAGCCTGTTAGCTAAACTCTCAGTAAAGATAGTTTCCGACCAAGAAACTGAATTTTCAGAACACTACGATGACAGTTTAAGTTTGGCAGAGAACACTGTATTTCAGACTTGCAATAAAAAAAAGGAATTGACAAGAGATGGAAAAATAAAACATGACAGTATAAACAACACTGAAACGCGGTTTATTATGCATGGTCTCTTAAGATTAAGAGCTCAAGATGATCTTCAGTCCGGCATTCAACGCTACAGGTCTATCTAGCCCCGGTGAAATCAGCTACAACAATGCAAATAACTTAAAAGATACGATATCAAGTACTGTATTATGTAGCACATGAGTAACACATCGCAATCTGACTTGAACGGATGGGTATGCCCTGGCCTTTGTAGGCTTGTCGTTCTTTGTGGCTGTGCACGGTGCCAGAAAAGCGTGCCTTTCGGGTAGCCCCTAACCCCCGTGACTTGGAAACACGCTAAAATGCCGACATGCCCGTTAGTCTGAGGACCTGCCGGAGCCCTCCCGACCCGATACAAACCAAATTTCGTGCGGCTGGTTTCCAAGAAACACTGCAGGGCCCCGACTGGTTTTTGTTTCGGGCTAATGTTATTGTCGTTGGGGATGCGGCAGCCCGGGACAGTGTGTGGGATATCAGAATGCCTGTGATGTGGGAGAGGGGGTTACTTTCAAGTGACCTGTGCGGTCTGTAGACGAAAATCGCGAGCTAACGAATGCTTAAGTGTATTATTGGTACTGCATCTGATTAAAACAAATATAAAGCAGACTGGCGCTGCAAAATTAGCCCGTCATTTGCATTTTCAGACACGCTAGCCTGGCGAATTCTGCATTGAATTAGAGATACAGCATTGCACGTGATAGTCTGAGATAGGATCTTTGTGAAGTCATTTCGCTGGCGAAAACCTCCAGAAAACAATCAAGACCAGGACGATTTCCGAGTCTTCCGAAACTGGTCTTAGCGATAGAAGTTATTACAGCAAACAGAAAACAATCTATACAGTTACAATTCGTTTCCCATTTGAGGCCGGTTCCAAAGATTTTGTTATTCGTTCAGGATCAGCCGGCATCCTCCTTCCAGATACTGATTCAAGGTAGAAAAGGCAAACGTGCACCAGGTGTGTGTGTGTGTCACTGTAACTCTTTAATCTATCACGCCAAACTCTCGATGTTGTACTTCCAAGTCCGTATCTCCGAACTCATCTATATGAAATGCGGATGGAATAAAAAGTCAAGTTGCAACCAATTTTTTCAGAGCGGGCACGGCGACGCCGGATCCCTGCCTTCTCAAAACGGGAATGAGCGCGTGATCTCGGGACACCGAAACAATTCTCCTCGCCATCTCGCCGGGCTACAGTATCACCCCACGAAATATGTAACACACTCCCCCCCCCGGCACAACAAAGTGTGTGAATCCGACAGACCGCTCCCCTAGCCCGCCGGGGCTCCGCGCACACCACAGCGCCGGCTCGCCTCAGCCCGGCGTACTGACCTGCTGGTAGTTGTCGTCCTGGGGGTTAAAGCTCTTGTTCACGGGCTGGAACCTGAGGTTGACGTGGGGGAAATTGTGCAGCCAGTAAGTCCACCACGGGGCAATGTAATCTACCCGCGCCGTAGGCAACATTGCAAAGCGGAGCTTCGGCTGTCTACAGTAATCCGGAGTTTCAGTAGTAAAAGCACACCGTCCGCACAACTGGAAACACAACCCCAGTCAGCCCCGTCCGCGATCATCAGACAAAACAAGGCATCGGGATGCAGAGGGGGAGTGCGATGCACTGATCGGAAGATGGAGACGAAATTCGGAAAGAGAAAGAAGACGCGTTAAAAGAAAACGAAGTGTTTTCTGCCCGCTTCGGAGATTTTGTTTTTTCTTAAGGTCGATAGAAAAAAAAAAAGACGATTTAACCAGTCCTCAGTGAGCTCCACGACTTCATTTCGCCTGCTTCCATTCTCTCTCTCTCTCCCTTAACAAGTTATTCACTCGGAGCTCCGGCGTGCACGCAGCCCTCGCGGGAACGCGCGTAAATCAGGGGCACGGGATCACGCGTTTATTGAAGACGGGTCGGGGACGTGCGTAACTAGCGCACTGCTCTGTTTATGAGACGGATGCTTGCAGTACGGTTTATGTTTTCTTCTAAAAAATGCTAGTAATACCCTTAGGTGCCCATATACACGCAAAACGTAACTGAAGGCTTAGTTGATGTATAAAAGCCGGCAGTATAGGCAACTGTATATTGAGGTCATGTTAAATCTCAAAGGATCTGGGGTATTACTGTACTGTATATTTGAATGACTCCACCCTCTCCATCACGGGAACATAGGAGTATATACGGCTGTTCAGCGTAGAATGTCCATTTACGCGTCTAAGAGACGCGAAAAGCAACCAAAACAGTTTCTAGCACTTGGTTACATCTTGTAGTAAAGCATTAAAAAAAATCGATGCTCTTCGCTAATATTACAAAAGATAGGCTAACCAAACAGGCACCCTGGCTAGACTCATCTTACACTGCATTAACAAGATGATTATCTTCTAGAACGTTGATACAATTGCAAACAAGAAGCCACATCTAGTCCCTAAACGAGTACCGAATTGATCCGACAGTTTTGAAAGCTGAAAAGTTTTAAAACTACAGACTATTAAATTGTAAAACTATATTTCAAATTAGGAAAGACTGTGTGTGGAAAGCTCTAGATTTGTAAGCTTGTTTAGAGAAAATACAGCTTTGAACAAGGTGTAAACGTACGAGTGCTTTAGGTAGCACCTGATGCATTTAATATTAAATACTGAAACAGTGGCATTCGACTCCGAATTAATAACACTTAGACCAACTCGCTGTTTTCGCCAGAGATCAAGATCAGAAGCGTACCCGGTGTAATATCTTCTTTTGAACTTCAGTTCTAACGTAAAAATCCATCGCACTTATTTTTAGCATACCGCAAACGTGTTCGGTAGTTGCAACACATCTAGCAGGATTTCACCACGCGGATTGCTTTCAGAGGTGCCGTTTTGTCTCATGCAATCCAACCCCATTTCAATTTATTTTCACTGTCCCCCGGATATGAGTAAAACTGCACTACTGGACTACTATGTGCAGTTACCAATTAACCACCTGCTGTTCTTTTAATCTAAAAATACCAGGGAAACCCAGTTCTGCTTTAGGACATTACTGTACATCAGCATTTCTGTTCGAATTACTGTTCGTTGAAAACGAGACAGGGGTTTCAAATAAATTCTCAGTATACCTCTATATATACTGAGTATATAAACTCCCAGTTTTCCTGTTAACGTGAGGTAATCTCGCCTATTTGGTTACATTAGGCAATTTGGCTGCAAGCACTCGGCAAATAGTAAACGCAGGATTATACTGCACTGATACATGTACAGCGTAAGAGTATTCTCATGACAGCAGGCTACATAAAAAAATAAGCAAACTATGACATAAATCTCATAGGACTTGAATTTTGGGATTAGGAAGGACATTTTAAAATATTCACGAATAAGCAGTAATTTAAATGGATGTCTACAGACCAGGACTAAAAGCATCAGAGCTCTACATCCGTCTCATCTTGCTAATTAGGAACCTAACCTGCCAATATGCAGTCAGACACCCATTAGGAAAAGGCATTAAATTTCATATTACAACTTCCTTTATGTGTAATTATACGTGTATAAAAATAAGGATTCCCAACGTGAAAGGGTGAGAGTAGCACAGGTTAGCAAAGCTCAATACTGCCATCAAGTGGCATAAAGCACATTCATTAAATAACCTGAAATTCATGTAATTGACAGGAAATCCTACCATATTAAAAAATGCCACCTTTTTCAGAAAGCTATTAAAGGCTTTAGTTCAACAAATTCTGAATACAAGGCAAACTTCCTTCATTTCAGTGAGAACCTCTGAAAGTAATTCACCTAATAGTAGAATCCATGATGCACTCAACCAGCAGAGACATTAATACACTTTCATAAGACATGCTAACTTCCTAGAAATCTGATTTTAGTCTGTGACCCGTGTACTGCATGAAAAAGCACAAGTCTTAACATCAAGTTTTATTACAATAAATTTTTATTCTGTACATGAAGAGCTCATTTCAGTTCTTTCACAGCCAGACCTAAAAGAGAAAAAAAGAGGCACATTTAGATAATGCACAAATTCTTGCTATTCATTTAATTGAGCAAATATTCACACATACATTTCGACACTAGAGCCTACCCTTAAAATGTTTTCTGGCTAACGATTTGTCACCCATCTATAATTTTCTTATCATGCCACAGTAAGAATGCAGCAAATCCTTTCGTGATGTGGAACAGTATTATATAGAAGGAACAGGTAACAGGTTTATTCCATGCTGAAAAGAAAATAAACAATGAGCTGTGGAAGAAGGCTCCACTGAAACGTGTTTCCTTTCTTTTCAGCATGGAATAAACCCGTTACCTGTTCCTCTGCAGCTGACGCAGCTACCTACTTCAAGTATAATACAGAGGTAAAAAAAGTAAAAATGTTATAGGACAGTTACTGTCCAGAAAGGAGGCGGCACAACAGACTTTAAAAACAAAATTCCCTCCTAATGCATGGGGCCCAGTGGCCTGAAGCTTTCCACTACATGATCACATGGCTGAACTGGTTCTGCTATTTACTTATCACCTACACGAAACACTACCTGGCAAGAGAAATGGGAGAAAAGGGTAATGCAATTCATATAAACTTTTTTCAACCATGTAAATCAGCATATACATTATACATAAAGATCTGAAAAAACTATTTTACAATTTCACATAAGGTATTGGGCATTTATTTCTTTTTACACCCTGGAGTGGTTTTCTAGCTACAAATAATTAAATCTACACAGAAATGAGAAATTTAATAACATCTTTTAAAAACACCTCTTGCACCAAGGCTACAAGTGAGGATTTGTTTTTAAAGCCACACATCTTTATAAGCCCTTCTTTTAACAGATGCTTCATACCTATAAGGAAACTGTCTCACTGAAAAAAAGTCCTCAAAAGGTTTTATCAAGACTTCATAGGTGCTGTTCAGGTAATTTCCCCTGTACTTATTACCCTGAAAAACTTTAGGTACAGCCCAAAAGTGAAGTCAAACAACATCACACTGAAGATAATACTAGATTTTAATGGTCCATAGCAATAGTACTGCTTTCCTGCCAACAAAGAGAGATGGGATCTCCAGTTCCCTGCCTCCAGGGCAAGGTACCTAACACTTACAGCCATTTTCAATTAGCAAAGGATGTATCTCTAAAATAATGACTACAATTAAGATCAAGTAAAGGTTTATTTCAAACAACGTTTCGGCTCACACCTGAAGGAGGCTCCACAGCTGAAAAGTTGTTTCCTTCCTTCTCTTTTCAGCATGGAAGGAACATTTACTTGTTCCTTCACAGCCTACACATGCTGACACAGCTAACTACTTGAACTACTACAGTTAAGGTCAGATGTGTAACAGAAAAACGGGATTCACCATCCTCATTTGGTCGCTCAGGTATGCGGAGTGCTTCTTAGGGTTCCTGCAATGGAGTGACTGAAGCCACCCTAGAAGCTTCCACTCCCCAAGCCCCGGAACTTCCTTACTGAAGGACAGCGCTCAGCAACACGTCTTAAACCTGAAAGAAGCGTGGTCACTCACCAGGTGGGAGAGACTGCTTGAGTTTCTCTGCCTTCTCCTTGTCCGTGATGACAAGGGTGTACAGATACCGGCTGCAGCGCACCTTGAACTTCACATTGTCCTTGTTCTTCTTGATCTTGACAGCTGTACAAGCAAAGGGCAACACTGCAATGAGTCCACTGAGCATGTCAAAAATGTAGTCACTTGCTGAATAAACCGTGAGCAACATGCTGGTGAAATCAGAACAGCCTGGAGCATTACTTGTGTCTTCAAACGTATTTGGGCAAGCTGAATTATTGCCTCATCAAGTGCAATAATTCAGAGGTCAACCAAAACATGTGCCAACGCTTACCCATCACACATGTAAACACTTGTAATCTTTAAGAGGTTTTTCATCTAAACCAGCGATTCTCAAACTCAGTCCTGTAGGATCTCTAAATCTAAGCTCTTAATCACCAATGCTTTCATTTGCTTGATTACATTTCTATCTGTTGCTACACTCAGTCCTTGGTATCATAAATGTGCTACTTAAAACACTGTCCCGTTAACATAAGAATTTGTATTCAATCTCTCACCAGCCTAATGGCCTGCTCCTATGTTGGCCCAAACTGCTCTAAAGAGATTGATGTATGAAGAACAGACATGTGAAAACGACAATGTATCAAATACTCCCACCTGAAAGAGTACAGTTCTGAAACACAGAAAGAGGTACAGGGCTGATACCAATTATAAATGCCATTCAACAGCTGATAGCATCTTTTAAAGCAGATCTTAATAGAAAACTGAAATCAAATACCATCTGAGTAAGAACTTGCCTGGACCAAAACCTAGAAAAGAGTAAAGCTGGGAGGCAGTGATCTAAACTGGGCCCATCACAACTACAGCTCCGTGAAAAAGCATAAATTTTATGTCTTGTAATGCACAAGCACATCACACCTAAGAGATTGCTTTACTCAGTAATATCCGAGCTAAACGGATTTTGCTGGCGGGGGAGGGGAGCCCCCATTACCTGTAAAGCGCTTTGAGGAGTGTCCAGAAAAGCTCTATATTTGTGTAAGCAATTACTAAACCCCAACAGTCCAAAAACACAATAACCTTGCTCCAAATAAGCTGTACGTACTACAAACTGTTGAAGCACTACAGCAAGTTTCATAAAGCATCCTTTATTCTGGAGCTCTACCATCATGACACACTGACGTGCAAACTGCTTTTCAATGACAGTTTCCCACAATCTATGATCTCTAGGTTTGGGATTAGCCTTTTCTCAAATTTCCAGATGATAACCATTCACAACCAAAAACAAGGTATTCTTTAAAGTTCTAGGCTTCGCATCAGTTGATACTGCAGAGAGCGTTAAAACAAAACAGTGGCAGCCTACACACCCTGACTTG